TACACATTATAATAATGCCTATTAGGCTACTAGTAATAAAATAGAGAAAAAAGAATCTTTAACAGAAGTCCAACACGGAAAACATGAAAATGTTGCAGGCTCAGTTTGATTAAACCTGTTCATAGACGATAGTGGTAACTGCAAGCTACTGTCCACGCCTCCTAGCATCGGCTTCGGCAGAATTCACATTAAAACATGAACTGGTACACTTTAGATTTTTAACATCTGTGGATGTGTTCATATGGCGGTTATCATGGAACTTTCAATGTGACACGTTATTTCCATTCTATGACAAGCGGCATATTATCCCCAGGTTAAAATTTGCGTGTGCCCTAAACGAGAATACAATGAGTGAAACTAAATAAAATGAAATTTTGACAGGGGATCGGAGGTTATGAAGCCTGCATACCATAGTTAAGCTGTCAAAAGACAGAATTAACAAGCAGGCAATGCCCTAAGAATGATTAAACAGTATTTAAGTGAGCAATATAACAATCTTAAATTTTATTTTAATTTGGAATTTCCATCTACCATAATGTATTTTGTAAATATTTAAAAGGGTTTGTTACTTTTTGGCTTTCTTGGATTTTAAGTTTCAACGACACTGAGATCATGTGAAAACATTCCTACTTAAGTGTAAAGAAAAACCCCAGATACCTTTTGTGAAACATTTCAAACACGAGCGGGCACCTAACTAGAACCACCGACCTTCCGTAAATTAGCTTGATAGATTCCTCACATACAAATAATCCAAAGTCATGATTTGATTTCAACTTCAGCAGTAAATGAAAGATAATTTGAAGTCGACGGCCTTATCCCGACTCTGCCACTTTTATGAACGCCCATCAGGTTCACTAGAGAAGATAATGTAATAGTCTGACCTTAATTTATACTCTTTCAATATTATTTTCTTTTTCAGAAACATGAAAACTGCTATACAGGATGTCTGAAATAAAAAAAAACGACTTTTAATTCAATTATGACAAATAATCGTAACTTCAACAAAGACGCATTCGAAATGACCCAATGATCATGATTTGATTTGAATGCTTTTGGTTCGAGATGAGAAGGGTCTTTAAACATTGCCTTTTTTCAAAATCTATGTTTTGGGCTTTCGTATCCCCGATTGCAACCGAAACCATTTGGACAACTTAATTGGTAGACAGTCAGGTAAATTTCATCACATTTAATCAAGAAGTTACTAAGCGGATGGGATTGCACACACGTATTAAGGCATGACAATAAGTATTTATATGTGTACGTCAGACGGACGAATATAGCCATCGGGCCAATAATCTCACAGAGATTTAAAAGTCTATTTAACATTCATACATTTTACCTAGTATGTACAGAAAATATCGCAGTCTAAACTGTAACCGAAACCTGGGTATAAACTGTAACACAATCGGATCAAAGTCGCTAGGTCTTTGCTGTAACCCTGCGAAAATCACCTCGCTCTGTACTGTAACATTGTTTATTTTTTCAAACGCATTTAACGAACAAGAAAATAGGTTCAACTGGTCATTTACTTTTATAAACGTTTCTTAACATAAGGGACTAACGTCTTGCAGATTTACTTTTTCTAGGCATGCATACATAATGTCGAAAATGAAGAAAAATGCGATGGTCTATCGATTCAAATTTTCAAACTTGTCATATCTGCATATTTATGAGACTATATAGCGATAAATCTGCGGTGCAGAGTCTGAAGAAATATATGACTAGATACCGGATTCTGTTCCTTACAAGCATTTAAGCACAAAAACATCTTTTAGGAACTAAACTACTTGTAGTATGGACCGGGATAAAAATCACCTACCTGTCCTCCCAACAAATAAGCCTCAATCTTTAAAATTCTATACTACTGTAACACGTTCCCTACAGTGATTGTATACGCACCGGTCTCTCAAATATCGACAATGGACAGTTAAAGGATTATGTATGGTGGCTGATTTACGCCATGTCGTATTTTCGCTTCTTCGCCTCAAAATACGAAAATGCGAAAACAGGAAAGGACGAGAAAGTTGGACTTATGTGTTCTCATGTCGGAGTAAATCTTTTCACGTGTAAAATGTCTTTTGAACATTACATTTCTAAGTTTCTATATTTGCAATTAAAAGCTTTAATTGTCTTTTTTGAATAATTTCATTTTTCTTGCGCAATAACACATTTTTTTCTCTAAACTGACACTTGGTTTTCTATATTCGTTTCACAATAAACATTCACCATACCAGGTTGTTCAATAACTTAAGTTGGTCCGTAAATCAAGCCTTTACCACAACATCAAACTTCATTCAGAATTCATGTCTCATTATTGTGAGCAAAATTCTGAGTTTCCTTTAGATATGTTAGATATGAGCAAATGCGAGGGGGATATAGAATTAGTCTCCGTCCGTCTATATGTCCTTCCTGCCGTCAGTCCATCCACATTTTTGTCTGGATCATATCTGAAAAAGTATCAACTTGAAACTTCATAGGTGGAGATATCAACTTGAAACTTCATAGGTGGATAAATCAAATTTAGGAGAAATGCAGTGCACAAGAATGATAACTCTACCCTGCATAATTTTTCAGTTATTGCCCTTTGTGATTTTTCAAACTTAATTTTTGTCCAGATCATAACTGAAAAAAGCCTTTGAGATATCAACATAAAACTTCATAGGTGGTTAGATCTCTATCTTAGTGATAACTCTACCTTTCCTAATTTTTGAGTTATTGCCTTTTATTACTTTTTTAATACTTAATTTTCACCTGAGTGGAGTATAAATAAAGTCAAAAAATTGAGATGTCAATATGAAACTTCATAGGAGGATAGACTTTGTGAGGAGGACTGTTGTGCGAAAGAATGATAACTCTACCCTTTTTAATTTCTAAGTTACTGCCATTTGTTATTTTTCATACTTTGTGTCCGGAGCATATCTGAAAAAGTGTAAGAGGTAACAACTTGAAACTTCATAGGCGGATAGATCTCATTGAGGAGGAGTGCGCAGCACATAATAATAATAACAAACCGTGCATTATTTTTCAGTAATTGCCTTTTGTTATTTTTCATACTTAAATTTTGTCCAGAGTATAACTACAAAAGTCTTTGAGATATCAACATGAACCTTCATAGGTAGATAGATCTTACTCAGGAAGTTGCAGTGCGCAAGAGTGATAACTCCACACTTCATAATTTTTGAGTTATTGCCCTTTGTTAATTTTCATAATTATTTTTTCACCTGAGTGGAGCATAAGTCAAAAAGTCTTTGAGATGTCAACATGAAACTTTATAGGTGAATAGATCTGATTAAGAAAGGATGATGTGCACAAGAATGAGAACTCTATCCGTTATAATTTTTGAGTTATTGCCTTTTGCTATGTTTTATACGTTTTGTCTGGAGCTTATCTAAAAAAGCGTTCGAGGTTACAACTTGAAACTTCAGATGGATAGATCTCATTTAGGTGAAAAGCAGCATATAAGAATGATAACCAATCGTGCCTTTTTTTCAGTTATTGTCCTATTTTATTTTTCATACTTAATTTTTGTCCAGGTCATAACTAATAAAGCCTTTGAGATATCAACATTAAACTTCTTGGATAAATCTCACTCAAGAGGTGTGCAGTAAAAAAGAATGATAAATAACTGCTTTACTACATATACATTGCTCTTGTAACAAGTTACATTATAATACTTAAAAACCTTCTCAACAAGTTAACATGTCAATTCAGCGCAATGCTATTTGGAGATACCTTATCATTACACTTAACTGTTGTGTTTTTTGTTTTTTGTCGGAGTTGTTTTTTCTCTTTCATTTTAGTTTTCCGCCGTGACAATCACATTGCTGCATTTGCCAGCAATTTTTTACTTGTATCAATCATGTACCCGGGGTCAAAAATGTCCTTATCCTTTCACCTTAGGATTACTTAGTTTACATAGTCTTAATACAGTAATATTGTCATATAAATATATTCCTCCAAAAAATCAAAAGAAAGAGCACATGTTTTTGCCCTCTGTTTAATTTCTCAACTGATATTAAATATATATTCACATTAAACTATCCTAATAAGAATGCATTTATTAAGGGAATGTAACCTTAAAAATCTATTTTCTCCCATAATTAGCTCATTTAGCATGAAGTGCTTAAAAGTGCGCTTAAGTTTTCACCCTGCGTCTGTCTTGTTTTAAAAATGGCGTCAAACAGTTTCTTAAAACAAGATCACCTAAACAACTTTGCCAAAATTGATAATACTAAATAGGAATGTTCCTGGTATGAAGCTCTTACATAATTGTTCAAAACATGCTACTCCAATCAGAACCCTGCTTGCCATGGGAACCATAAATGGCAACCAAAAGAATCAAAATAACTTTTTAAGCCTTTTCATACAAAAACCAAGGGTTAGAGTTTAGGTATTTAGCATGAAACTTCACGCAGTAAGCGTGTACCACGTTTGATTAAATTATAGCTCCTTGGGTAAAAATTGTTCCCACCCAAGGGCGTTATCAGTTTCGCATGTTTGTAGTGATAAATATCTCCTCTGAACCACAATGTCTAGATCTAATATATTTGGCATAGAACATAAGCTTATGGACATCTTCTAAGTTTTTGCAAACCATATCCGTGGGGTTATAATTGCTCCCGGTAATGTCATTGAATTTAGTTAATATAAATATAGAAAATAATGAAAATACTTTTCTCTGAAATTAAGATATATGGCGTGAATGTTGGCTTATTACGTTTGAAATAATACCTCTGTGGTCTGACCGGAGAATATGGGACATGTACTAAGACATTTGACATAAAATTTGTTTAGTCATCTTCCACCAAGTTTGTTTAAATTACAGCGTTGGGATCTGATAGGTTACCCCCCGGGGTGGTTGTAATCATGGGTTTTTCGAACCAAGGGCCATGCTTCAGTTAAAATCTATAAAAGATTGAATGGCTTTGAAAAGTGATCTGCAAATTAAACTATGATCCCCACAGACATTATGCTACTTACTTTATCTCATTTCTCTACAGATGAGCTGCCCGAAGAGATTCGGCAAATGGATGATAGATCTATACAAATCTTTACAAAAGCGTTACAGGAAGGAAAGGTCCCAGTTCGAAACATTCGAGTTATGGTAGTGGGTCATTATGAAGTTGGGAAATCAACACTTACAAAACGCCTTTTGGGCATGCCAGTTGATATAACAATAAGAAAGCCAACAGAAGGTATAGATGTACACACAGACAGATGTAGACGCTTGGAGGATGGAACATGGATGTTGCCCAAATCAGGTAAATTTTGAAAGGACAGATATTCATATGATATTTGATCTTGATTAAAACTCTTTTGCAAAACATTTGCATTACCTATAATTTTACCACAGTTTTTACTAGGAAAAGTAATCTCCGATGGAAAAGTAGGTCTCAGGAGAAAGAAAAAACTCTTGAAAACATTCGTTGTCTAAATATCCTTGAACTTAGTTAGAGAGGTTATTAAGATAAATTATAGCTCAAGTTGGAACATGGGTTACATGGCGTCAAAACCTAGGTAACACAGCAACACTATGGAAACGCCTTGTTAATACACTTAAGGTAATTGTTTTGGTTCAAATATCACAGAAATTAGTCAGAAATCTTGTTTTGAGGATTTTAAGGTCAAGTCTGCATATGTGTTATCTGGGGTAAAAAATAAATCAAACAGCTCAAATTTGAAAGAAAAACAACTAATTAACACTATAAAGACTACCATTTGGGTTTCAATATTCCGGAAATTTGTCGCAAAATGTGTATATGATTTCTAGCTCAAGATCGCTTCACTATTAGTCACCTTGGTAAACACTTGGTAACACAGCACAAATGTTGAAAAAGCTTAAACTGTTCAGGTTTAATTTTCAGCCAAATTGGGTCTGTAATTTGATGATTTCAAGGTAAGTTAGAATATTGGTCATCTAGGATCCTAAAATAGGTCACGCAGTCCAAATATTTAAAACAACGTTAACACTTTAAAGGCTAATGTTTGAATCTAAAATTCCTTTTAAATTTGTCAGAAATGTTGTTCAGATGATTACAAGCTAAAATTCGAATATTGGCCACAAAGCCTTGTTAACACTCTACAGGAACCATTTTAAGCCGAAATATCCTGTACATTTGTCTGAAAGATTGTTTACACGATTTCTGGGTATGGAACAACTAGGGTCAAAAACAAGGTCTCACAGCTGAAATGAGGAAGCACCCTGTTAACACTCTAGAAGTAACATTTTAAAGAGAGACACAGGCAAAATTTTCATTTCTTAGTTTTGAATTTTTCATTCATTATTCTGTAAATGCCCTCAAAATGAATATATTAGACAGCCAAAAGAACAAAACTTTTCTTCATATAAAGAATGAAATGGTGGTTTCCTAACTTGACCCGCGTGGGTCAGGTTAGAGCGCTAGCTTTTCACAATAGTTGTCAAAGTGAACTCTGGAAATGTTAAAGAACATGTAAAATGAATGACTTAAGCTTGTTCTAATCATACAATGAATGTTATTGTAACTTTTAGGGTTTGTTCAAGTCGCCTGACTTGTTTTAAAACTATTTTGTGATTCTATTGGCGTCTAAATTGTGTGCAACATATATAAATATATTTACGCTTAAAACCAAAAATATATAGAATTTAAACAGAAATCCATGCTGAAACTTCAAGAAAAGTTATTTTAGCGTGATTTGAGTACATAAGATCATTTAAATATTTTTGTCATTATTTTGCCTAAATATCCCTTTGAGTATATCTTGGAAATTGGTCAAAAATTTTGTTTTTGTGAATTCTAGCTCAAGTTCGGATATGGTTTATCTGGGGTCATAAACTACGTCACAGAGCCCAAATATAGAAATGCTGTTTTTATGATTTCTAGTGAAACTGAAAATATGGGTCACCGTAGGTGTTAAAGTAGGTCACTCAACGCCCAAGAATGGAAACTATTTGTTAGCACTCTCAAATAATTATTTTCACCTGTTTCGCCTTTTGCGTCTATAAGTCTTTGACTGACAATGACTTTAAACAGATGACTGCTTTGTGGATTAAATATTTGCAAATATTTTTTTCTGAACTTGTTTTTAAATATAAAGGCAATATTTTGAATGACATAAGTAGAAATTTATCTTCACATTTATACGCCGAAATCACTTGTGTACACAGTCCAATCATTCTGGTGACAAACATGACTCTTTGCTGGGTTCATTACCTCACAATAATTACACTTAAATCCCTCCTTTTTGGTATACACCTAGTGATAATATAGCCGAAATAAAAATTACCTACTTCTCTGACTGCTAATTGTTCGCCATGTTCAACATCATGCCTCCAACATAGGAAGAGGTTATTCTATCAAACATTCTGAGAGAATCATATTAACCTTTTAATGACTTATAATTTACGTTAAATCTTGCGAACCACCTCAAGAAGTCTCCAATTACATTGGCAGTTTGAATTGAAATTTTGCACAAATGCTCATTATCATGCCCCTGCTCAGAACACATGAGGTGGTTAATTTATCAAGCATGCCCCCAATATGTCATCTGCCGGAATGTACCACACATTTAATGGCTCACTAGTCAATACTTGTATCTTTTGAGCTTAATAAAATTCTGTGATTATTATTCAAGACACTCCTAACTTTGTCATGTACATTTTTCGTATTCTTGTGAATAGATTATTTTTTTTGTAACTTCTTACATTACCCAATATCAAGCACTGAAAATAGTTGAGGACCCTGCTACAAACAGCTTTTGTTGAATTTGACTCTCAAGTATGACAGTTGACCTATAAATTTAAGCTACGATGTTCCTGCATATGTAGGACATACAGCACATTTAACCTAACATTTATGTAATTGTTCTAAAGAGATCTACACCAGGTTGCAAAGTTAAAGCATGGATACGCAAACTTATTTGAACGCTATATATGATTGGCATTTCAACTACAATTCTTGATCTTAAGTGCGATACATTTTCACATTTAAATAAACATTTGTGCTTAGCTTTTAGGGAACCATTTTAATTCATTTTAATACAGGTAGGGAGAGATAAAACAATATTTGTACTAAGACACGCACAAACAATAATCAGTATATCGGAAGCCAAAAGTAATTTCCAAATTGTTGACTTATAGCAAAATGATGAATGACATTTCAAACTTCTATGTTTAGGTAAAGAACGCTTCAATGTACTTGGTCAGCTTGCTAATATTTTGGAAGAGAATACAACAGGTAAATATATTTTTTTCTTTGAGATTTGAGGGAGTTCCTTGAGAAGTCAAACTGTTATGCAAGTTGTAGATCAATAAGAATATTCCATCTAATAATGTGGCACATACGAAACTTAATGGAATTTTATTGTAAATTCAGTCGATTTTACATTGAACACAACTGAAGAAACACTTGAGCCATCAGCCGAGTTTAATATGATTTTTCAAGCCGTGTACTAGGTTAATTAATTTTCATTGTGTACCTAATAATGCTTTTTGTATTTATCATATATACAAGGTGTATCATGGAAACACGAAATGAGACCCACTTATACTTACAATTTTTCGCAAGACACTTCAATTTTCTTTTCAGATATCTTCGGATACTTTTGTTATTTTTGACTTTTTTGTGAAGGTAATACAAACAAGCGATGAAAATATACACAGTGTTGAATGAACATTATTTAGATAGATGTATGCTCATAATGTCGTACTCTGTAAAGGCTACATTGATCGATAGTAGACATTCATCACAGGATATAAAATATGATGACTCAATTTTAGATCTCCTGAGTACTCAGAGATGAACTTTTGTGATAGGAGTTTTCCCTTCATACATCATTATAAAATATTCAAATAATATCTCCTGCTAAACTCCTTGATGATTTTGACAAAACGTTATAAGGATTATCCTTAAGAAGTCCTCTTCAAAAATATAAATTAATTGTTCAGTGATGCATAAGTAGGTCACAGGAGCTGAAATAGACTTTAGAAAAAGTCTTTATTTTTTTTTCTAAGAAACTTCATTGCCCGAAGATAAATTATTTCGCATATAACATCGTCATCTGATAAATGTTTTAAAAAGCATGCGACAGGCGTCAAAAAAGCCCAAACAAACGGGTCAATAGTTTCAAAGGCTTATAAAGGATAATGCGTTTTATTTAATGAAACTGTTACATATAAAGTTTAGATTTCTGGTATGTGGAATTGCCAAATGGACCTCTGCAAAATGTATATGAATCATTGGTATAATGGTAAATGGTCCCGCATTAGGGTCACAAAAATTTTATTGACTTGTATAGTAAAAATGTCTTAAAATATTTCTTCTCAAGAATTATAAAGATTACAGCTTGATTATTTGACATGTGGTAGTGCAAAGTGGAGTGCTTTTTCTCTACAAAAAGTATTTAATCTGTGGCGCAGCCCCTTGGTCACCTAATCTTTTTAGACTGCTCCTTAGAAACAACAATAACTATAACATTTCCTTGTGGTCTTCTACAAAAATGATATAAATCATGCCCATGGTGTCAAAATCGGACCGCCCTGTGGTTCATTTGTTCATTAATCCTCTTCCACAAAGCGGGGAGGGGATAGAATGAATGGTCTCCGTCTATCAATCGGTCTGTCCCTCCGTCTGTCCGCACGTCCTTGCGTCTGTCCGTTCGTAACACTTTCGTGTCCGCTTCATAACTTTAAAACCACTGAACAAAATAAAACTATCTTGGTACAAGTTATTACCATTATATGACAATATGCATATCGCAATGATTTGGTTTCTACACCCAGGTCAAGGTCACACGATCAAATGTTAAAAAGTTAACGTTTCGTGTCTTAACTTTTCAACCGCTTAGAAAAATTGAAATAACTTGGCAGAAGTGATCATCATTATGAGATGTGCAGAGCGCAATAATTAGGTTGCTTGCCCCGAAGTCAAGGTAATAGTTGTAGGTCAAGATTTTAAAAGTCTACATTTTGTGTCCGTTCCATAACATTTGAACTGCTGAGAAAAAACTAACTTGGCACAAATGATCACCATTATGAGACGATATGAGAGTGCAATAATTGGGTTGCTGCCCTATAGATAAGGGTCACACATAAGAGCTCAAAGCTTAAAAAGTCTATATTTCGTGTCCGCTCCATAAACGGCTGCAACGTTTTTAAGATAAAAAGTTTTAATATTTCTCTGCACAAATGATCCCCACAATGACACAATTCGCAAAGCACAACATCCAGGTTGCTACTTCCAGGTTATATTCAAGTTGCTATCCCCAAGGTCAATGTTAGTATTCTCCATTACTTGTTGACATTAAAAATCTGAATACATAATAATGAATAATGGCACAAATAATGACCATCAGGAGACTATGTGCTTGTGATATATATATCTAGTAAATCTGGAAATTGCCATAGATCTACGATTTATAAAGTGTTCAGGACTAACAAAAAGGTGGTGATTTTCCTTATTTGATTGATAATTTTTAACTAAAAAACTAAAAAACTGTGCTATTAAGAAAGCATCTACAAGGTTTTGAAACAATCTCCAACATTGTAACCAACTCACACGGAGAGGTCGTGACTTGGTAAATGATGACATGAATATGCAATTTTTTTTTCGAAAACAAGTTACCAAATATTTAAAGAATTAATAAATATGAATTTGTGAATAAACAGATGACAACATTGCTCAAATGATGCAAACTGAAGTAACAGAATCAATATATACCAGAAATCCTACAGGTATGTATGAAAAGAAAAACTATTACTATGATATGCGCTAGCTAATCTGGTACATAACATACGGTTTATTGCATAGAGTACAAAGATAATATTTTGTACAATTCTTGTTGCTACGGTAACTAACAGTTTTAAATAACAACATTTTTTTGAGAAAGCAAAAGGCACTTACCTTTGATATTCCGTACAAAACATCATGTAGCTGCGCATTTCAGTGTTCAAATAACTATATTGTTACGATTTGCAGGGTTAATTCTTTCATAATTTATATTGCATTTTTTAAAAATGAATTTCTTTATAAAAATACATACAGTATTGGGACTTATTAATGGTTGTATCCCTAGTTTTGGTTCTGGGATACACTGACCCGCCAAGTTAGGTCATTTGATTTTAACATCTAGGAACCCACTTATTTGGCTCTCGTGAAACAACTCATCCTCTTATAAATTTAATATTTGACATGTAGATTTGATAAGCCGAACTCTTCTCATGATTAACAAATTATTGCAATTTGGCAACAAGACTATGTTACTCAGTCTTTCGGAGAAATCCAATTTCAAAAGAAGGATCTCTAAATGATTTAGTGTCACACCTACTTGCAATACGGTTGATTGTGCTAAAATAAAAACTTAGATATAGGTTATATGCAGAGTCCTTGTTTTGCCAAGCATGTGCAAAGAAAATATTAATGAAACTTAATAGAACTATTTAGGAGATATGTGGTAAAATGCATTTAAATCTTCAATGTCCTTGAGGTCAGATATTGACCATAAAGCATTGCTTTGTTGCATTCGTCTTAAATTTAATTAACACCTTGATTCAGAAGTAACCAATCTTAAATTACTTTTGTAAAAAAGATGAACATAGGTAACTTTGACATCCAGAGCTAACAGAGTTTGCATGTATCATCACCATGTAAAAATTATTTTTTTCCAACGCTGCGGCGACAACGCAAATAAAATTTGAATATTTTCTTCAGAATTTATATAGACGACCAGATATGAAAAATATACCATGTTTTAGTGGATATTTATGAAAATGTTATATATCAAAGTGTAACAACGTTAGTAGTAAGTCATAATACTGATATTGAGCATAATAATATGCAAAAACTAAAGTTGGTTTCCCATATATAAAGACACAAAGCACTCTTGCTGGTGAGCTAGCTTTTCGCCGATAGGGTATGTGTGCCCTTAAACGTTACGGGGACCTATATAAGGAATCTGATAGTTAACAATGAAACAACAACTAATTATCAAATGGTAGGGCTAAACAGTCTAGGACTAAGATATTTGAGATTTGGCAATGCATAGTAAAGCTCTACAAGAAGACTTTGCATAGATTTCTCTACTAGCACGCCTCAATTTGGTAATGTGAACCATCGTTTTTGTCCCTTAGCAGGGTTCAAATTTCAGGTATAAAATTGGGCAACATTGTTAAGGCAGTATAAGGTGAAATTACAAAATTGATTAACATACCTGAAATTAATACATACGCTCGTATATTTAGTTGTTGCATTCTGGACTGCTACAAAGGCGGTTAGTTATAAGTTGGTGACATATTTTGTTGTTTAATCAAGACCATGATGTCAGATCTGTGCATTTAAAAATACTATTATTCATCAATAGTTTTTCATTGATGCAGGTTTATATATATATTAACATATAATGGATTCATAACAATTTTGATATTTTAATTACCCAATGACATTTAAACGTTTTTTTTTTCTTATACCGACTTTCACGCATTTTTAAAATAATGATAAAGTATGCATTGAAATGTATGCTATTATGTCATTAATTTATGCATTTTTGACAAATGTTTTTGTTTATAGTAGATTAATATAATTCGTATTTAATTTATTGTTAATCTCTTATGCTTGAAACCCTTTTTAATCAACACCAAAAGTGATAGCAAATTTTTGAGTGTCAATGAACCAAATAGAAGAAATTATATATTATATATGAAAATACAGTTGATCCAAGTCATGTCAGTGTGCAACAGAAAAAGAATGAAGATACAGAAATAAACTCCTCAGTACGTACAGGTAAGATTTAAGCAGATTTTTTTTCTAAACATTTTTGAAAAGAAGGGCTATCATTTTACATTATGTTAAACATGATTAATGAAATTTCTTCTTAAGTTTATAAAATACCTAGTCAGTGTAAAAATTAAGGGTTACAGTAAAACTTTACAAAATTCTTTAGTTTGAAGGAATAAATGATTCTCACATGCAATAATTTATTAAAAGGAATACTTTTATAATTCATTAATACTATTTTCAGGTTTTGCTTTGACAATTACAATAAGATTCGAATTTGTATCGATAATTGTACATGGACACTGTATTATACTGATGTAATTTAATGAATATTTAGTTTTTTGACATTGATAACGATGCATGTTTCCTTGCGAAAAAATCAAGATATACATAGAGAACATTACGTTGAAACTCTAAAAATGTTTTATGGACTAACAACTGATCAACTTGTGACACTGGCTCACACATGTAATTTTGTAACAAAATAGAGAAAACAGAACCCCTTAAGAAAGCGCAACATGTTCGCCATGTTCAACATCATGCCTCCAACATGTACAGAGGAAGACGTAATTCTATCAAACATTCTGAGAGAAGCATAATCTTTTAATGACTTATAATTTACGTTAAATCTTGCGAACCACCTCAAATAGTCTTCAATTCCATTGGCAGTTTGAATTGAAATTTTGCACAAATGCTCATTATCATGCCCCTGCTCAGAACACATAAGGTGGTAAATCTACCAAGCATTTTGACAGAAATATGCCCCCAATATGTCATCTGCCGGAATGTACCACATATTTAATAGCCCACTAGTCAATACTTGTATCTTTTGAGCTTAATAAAATGCTTTGGTTATTATTCAAGACACTCTTAACTAAGTCATATACATTTTTCGTATTCTCCTGAATAGATTATTTTTTGGTTGTTACTTCTTACATTACCCAAGGTCTGGTTTTACTATCAAGCACTGAAAATAGTTGAGGACCCTGCTACTGACTGCTTTTGTTGATTTTGACTCGCAAGTATGACAGCTGACCTATAAATTTAAGCTACGATGTTCCTGCATATTTGAACGCTGTATATGATTGGCATTTCAACTACAATTCTGGATCTTAAGTGCGATACATTTTCACATTTAAATAAACATTTGTGCTAAGCTTTTAGGGAACCATTCCAATGCATGTCAACGTTACAGGTAGGGAGAGATAAAACAATATTTGTACTAAGACACGCACAAACCATTATCAGTATATCAGAAGCCAAAACTGATTTCCAAATTGTTGATTTATAGCAAAATGATGAATGATTTTTCGAACTTCCATGTTTAGGTAAAGAACGTTTCAATGTAGTTGGTCAGCTTGCTAATATTTTGGAAGAGAATACAACAGGTAAATATCTTTTTTCTTTGAGATTTGAGGGAATTCCTTGAGAAGTCAAACTGTTATGCAAGTTGTGGATCAATAAAAATATTCCATCTAATAATGTGGCACATATAGAACTTAATGGAATTTTATTATAAATTCAGTTGATTTTACATTGAACACAACTGAAGAAACACTTGAGCCATTAGCCGAGTTAAATATGATTTTTCAAGCCGTGTACGGGGTCAATTAATTTTCATTGCGTACATAACGATGCTTATTATATTTATCATACATACAAGGTGTATTATGGAAACACGAAATGGGACCCACTTATATTACAATTTTTCGCAAGACATTTTAATTGGTCTTTTCAGATATCTTCGGATACTTTTGTTATTTTTTACTTTTATTTGTAAAGGTAATACAAACAAGCGATGAAAATATACACAGTGTTGAATGAACATTATTAAGATAGATTTATGCTCATAATGTCGTACTCTGTAAAGGCTACATTGATCGATAGTAGACATTCATCACAGGGTATAAAATATGATGACTCAATTTTAGATCACCTGAGTACTCAGAGGTGAGCTTTTGTGATAGGAGTTTGCCTTCATCCATCATTATCAAATATTCAAATAATATCTCCTGCTTAACTGCTTGATTATTTTGACAAAGCGTTATAAGGATTATCCTTAAAGTGTCATTATGCTCATATTTTTATAGTCAAGTTGTGCTAAATTGACTTTATATTTGAAAAGATTGACTGTCAAAATGGTGTTTGACCAAAAGTTTATATTGGAAAATGTTTAGGATAAAATCATAAATCTGTCTAAAATTTTAAAAGACTGCCCACTCTTTTTTATAAACTAAACGTAACAGGTAAATCCTTAAAGATATTTACAGAAATGCCGTTTGGATCTGTGAGTTATTTATTGTTTATACGAACTTAATTATTAAATTTAAAGTAATTATGGGAAAATTAAAACTTATTTTGACTTTCACCCGTTCACTCACTAAATACCCTTGGATGGGCATAATGTCACTTTAAGAAGTCCTCTTCAAAAATATAAATTAATTGTTCAGTGATGCATACGTAGGTCACAGGAGCTTAAATAGACTTTAAAAAAAGTCTTTAATTTTTTCTAAGAAACTTCATTGCCCGAAGATAAATTATTTCGCATATAACATCGTCATCTGATAAATGTTTTAAAAAGCATGCGACAGGCGTCAAAAAGCCCAAACAAACGGGTCAATAGTTTCAAAGGCTTATAAAGGATAATGCGTTTTATTTAATGAAACTGTTACATATAGACTTAAGATTTCTGGTATGTGGAATTGCCAAATAGACCTCTGCAAAATGTATATGAATCATTGGTATAATGGTTAATGGTCCCGCATTAGGGCCACAAAAGTTTTTAGACTTGTATAGTAAAAATATCTTAAAATATTTCTTCTCAAGAATTATAAAGATTACAGCTTGATTATTTGACATGTGGTAGTGCAAAGTGGAGTGCTTTTTCCCTACAAAAAGTATTTAATTTGTGGCGCAGCCCCTTGGTCACTTAATCTTTTTAGACTGCTCCTTAGAAACAACAATAACTAAAACATTTCCTTGTGGTCTTCTACAAAAATGATATAAATCATGCCCATGGTGTCAAAATCGGACCGCCCTGTGGTTCATTTGTTCATTAATCCTCTTCCACAAAGCGGGGAGGGGATAGAATAGTCTCCGTCTATCAGCCGGTCTGTCCCTCCGTCTGTCCGCACGTCCTTGCGTCTGTCCGTTCGTAACACTTTCGTGTCCGCTTCATAACTTTAAAACCGCTGAACAAAATAAAACTATCTTGGTACAAGTTATTACCATTATATGACAATATGCATATCGCAATGATTTGGTTTCTACACCCAGGTCAAGTTCAAACGATCAAATGTTAAAAAGTTTACGTTTCGTGTCATCTTCTTAACTTTTCAACCGCTTAGAAAAATTGAAATAACTTGGCAGAAGTGATCATCATTATGAGATGTGCAGAGCGCAATAATTGGGTTGCTACCCCCAAAGTCAAGGTAATAGTTGTAGGTCAAGATTTTAAAAGTGTACATTTTGTGTCCGCTCCATAACATTTAAACTGCTGAGAAAAAACTAACTTGGCACAAATGATCACCATTATGAGACGATATGAGAGCGCAATAATTGGGTTGCTGCCCTATAGATAAGGGTCACACTTAGAGCTCAAAGCTTAAAAAGTCTATATTTCGTGTCCGCTCCATAAACGGCTGCAACGTTTTTAAGATAAAAAGTTTTAATATTTCTCTGCACAAATGATCCCCACAATGGCATAATTTGCAAAGCACAACATCCAGGTTGCTACCTCCAGTTTATATTCAAGTTGCTATCCCCAAGGTCAATGTACTTGTTAACATTAAGAATCTGAATACATTGACACAACTAAATAAATGACCATCATGAGACTATGTGCTTGTGATATATATATATAAATAACAACTTAGGTGAAAGTGATATTCTAGTGTGACCTCATTACTATCATTAACATTAAAAATGAAAATTTTATCTTTTCTAGCAATGTATCTCAGATTAGCGATACAGGGCCGTCATTGCCCTCTTTTATGATAAAGTTTGAAACTCCATAGTCTTGTTTTTACATTAAACACATTGGACATTTAGTTTACTTTCAAATTGTATGTGTCAGTCCCTTAATTAAACCCCGTGCCTCTAACAACTGAAGGTACATGCTAGGCCAAGGTATTTTGATAATATCATAAGAGAAAGCTATCCAGCTAGCAAAGGGAACTTCGGTGGTTCAACACACCAGAAATAATGCACATGGGTCACTTTAGGTTTTCCTCCACCAGTAAATCTGGAAATTGCCATAGATCTACGATTTATAATGTGTTCAGGACTAACAAAAAAGTGGTGATTTGCGTATTTTTGATTGATAATTTTAAACTAAAAAACTGTGCTAATAAGAAAGAAACTACAAGGTTTTGAAACAATCTCCAACATTGTAACCAACTCACACGGAGAGGTCGTGACTTGGTAAATGATGACATGAATATGCAATTTTTTTCGAAAACAAGTGACCAAATATTTAAAGAATTAATAAATATGAATTTGTGAATAAACAGATGACGACGTTGCTCAAATGATGCAAACTGAAGTAACAGAATCAATATATACCAGAAATCCTACAGGTATGTATGAAAAGAAAAAACTATAACTATGATATGCACTAGCTAATCTGGTACATAACATACGGTTAATTGCATAGAGTACAAAGATAATATTTTGTACAATTCTTGTTGCTACGGTAACTAACAGTTTTAAATAACAACATTTTTTTGAGAAAGCAAAAGTCACTTAGCTTTGATATTTCGTACAAAACATCATGTAGCTGTGCATTTCAGTCAGTGTTCAAATAACTATATTGTTACGATTTGCAGGGTTAATTGTTTCATAATTTATATGAATTTCTTTATAAAAATACATACAGTATTGGGACTTATTAATGGTTGTATCCCTAGTTTTGGTTCTGGGATACACTGACCCGCCAAGTTAGGTCATTTGATTTTAACATCAAGGAACCCACTTATTTGGCTCTCGTGAAACAACTAATCCCCATATAAATTTAAAATTTGACATGTAGATTTGCTTAGCCGAACTCTTCTCATGATTAACAAATTATTGCGTTTTGGCAACAAGACTAAGTTACTCAATCTTTCGGAGAAATTCAATTTCAAAAGAAGGATCTCAAAATGATTAAGTGTCACACCTACTTGCAATACGGTTGATTGTGCTAAAATAAAAACTTAGATATAGGTTATATGCAGAGACTTGTTTTGCCAACCATGTGCAAAGAAAATTTTAATGAAACTTAATAGAACTATTTAGGAGATATGTGGTAAAATGCATTTAAATCTTCAATGTCCATGAGGTCAGATAATGACCATAAAGCATTGCTTTGTTTCATTCGTTTTAAGTTTAATTAACACCTTGATTCAGAAGTAACCAATCATAAATAACTTTTGTAAAATAGATGAACATAGGTAACTTTGACATCCAGAGCTAACAGAGTTTGCATGTATAATCACCATGTAAGGTGAATTTTTTCCATCGCTGCGGCAACAACGCAAATAAAATTTGAATATTTTCTTCAGAATTTATATAGACGACCAGATATGAAAAATATACCACGTTTTAGTGGATATTTATGAAAATATTATATATCAAAGTGTAACAACGTTAGTAGTAAGTCATAATACTGATAATGAGGATAATAATATGCAAAAACTAAAGTTGGCTTCCCATATATAAAGACACAAAGCACTCTTGCTGGTGAGCTAGCTTTTCGCCGATAGGGTATGTGTGCCCTTAAACGTTACGGGGACCTATATAAGGAATCTGATAGTTAACAATGAAACAACAATTAATTATCAAATGGTAGGGCTAAACAGTCTAGGACTAAGATATTCGAGATTTGGCAATGCATAGTAAAGCTCTACAAGAAGACTTTGCATAGATTTCTCTACTGGCAAGCCTCAATTTGGTAATGTGAACCATCGTGTTTGTCCCTAATTAGCAGGGTTCAAATTTCAGGTATAAAATTGGGCAACATTGTTAAGGCAGTATAAGGTGAAATTACAAAATTGATTAACATACCTGAAATTAATACATACGCTCGTATATTAAGTTGTTGCATTCTGGACTGCTACAAAGGCGGTTAGTTATAAGTTGGTGACATATTTTGTTGTTTAATTAAATTTTTAAATCAAGACCATGATGTCAGATTTGTGCATTTAAAAATACTATAATTCATCAATAGTTTTATTGATGCAGGTCTATATAATAAGATATAATGGATTCATATTAATTTTGATATTTTAATTACCCAATGACATTTAAACGGTTTTTTTTCTTATACCGACTTTCACGCACTTTTAAAATAATGATAAAGTATGCAATGAAATGTATGCTATTATGTCATTAATTAATGCATTTTTGACAAATGTTTTTGTTTATAGTAGATAAATATAATTCGTATTTAATTTATTGTTAATCTCTTATGCTTGAAACCCTATTTAATTAACACCAAAAGTGATAGCAAATGTTTGAGTGTCAATGAACCAAATAGAAGAAATTATATATTATATATGAAAATACAGATGATCCAAGTCATGTCAGTGTGCAACAGAAAAAAGTTGAAGATACAAAAATAAACTCCTCAGTACGTACAGGTAAGATTTAAGCAGATTATTTTCTGAACATTCTTGAAAAGAAGGGCTATCATTTTACATTATGTTAAACATGATTAATGAAAGTTCTTCTTAAGTTTATAAATCAGTGTAAAATTAAGGGTTGCAGTAAAAGCTTACAAAATTTTTTAGTTTGAAGGAATAAATGATTCTCACATGCAATAATTTATAAAAAGGAATACTTATATAATTCATTAATACTATTTTCAGATTTTGCTTTGACAATTACAATAAGATTCGAATTTGTATCGATAATTGTACATGGACACTGTATTATACTGATGTAATTTAATGAATATTTAGAGTTTTGACATTGATAACGATGCATGTTTCCTTGCGAAAAAATCAAGATATCCATAGAGAACATTACGTTGAAACTCTAAAAATGTTTTATGGACTAACAACTGATCAACTTGTGAACAATAATTCGTGGTCAAGACTTTGCATACTAGTGTTTCTCCAAAACAACTTATGATTCTTTTCGAATGCCACATGTAATTTCAGAGCCGTTCCTTAGGTCACTGGCTCATAAATGTAATTTTGTAACAAAATAGAGAAAAACAGAATCCCTAAAGAAAGTGCAACATGGCAAGATTAAAAATGTTCTAATGAAATCATTGAAAAACTTATGCGTCCCTTTTGCTTTTAGTCTTCATTAAAGATAATCTTAATATTTTACTGTTTATTTTTTAAGAAATGACAAATCAGGACTTTACAAAGAAAGAAGGCGAGACAACTAAAGCTAAAGAAAAAAGGAATGACAAATTGAAGGTTAAAATATTTTAATCTCGACTTTTTTGAAGGAAAAAGAGGTATTGTAACAGTCATGGCGGTCTTCCCGTTTTCCTCTGCAAACATTAACCTTGATCACAACTTTGAAAGTTCTTAATGCATTGTCTTCAAACTTGGCCACAACAACCCCTGGGACAAGGCTTTTAAAAGAACAAGACTTAACTTGGGCTTTATTCATACATTCATAGCTTTTTTACTGTTTTTTTGCTATAATTAGCTATAACGTTGGTGCTTTTTTCTGAATGGATGTCTCCTAACTTGAACACAAAACTCGTTTATGATAGATTTTCAAGTTAACCAGACAGACATTGACAATCGGTCATAATTACCTTGACCTCGATGGTCTGATTATTGAATGTCTTTGTTTAACGAGCTATAACTTAGTTATTTATGAATCAATTGACCTCATATTAAAATATAACATTCTTTAGGTTAAAACCTTCATGTATTGGTCTTCAGATTGACCTTGACTCATTCATGACCACGATCTTGAATGTTATTTATTTTTGCTATAATTGACCGTAACTTAGTAATTAATCAATTAATTATCGTTATTCTTAAACAGCCTTTTGGACAAGGCCTTTTTAAACGTTGTACTGGCCTTGACCATGAACTTAAAACGACATTGAGTGTCCAGGTAAAATATTTGATTCTTTGCTGAATTTTCATATTTTTATGTACATGTACGTTTGTTTTTAAAATTCGACAATATAAGATGTTTTACAAAATAAATATAATGAAAAAATATTAGAATATTACAATATAAATATTACAATTAAGATGTGACCGTCAAGGTTAAATTGATAAAATTATCTTGTTTTTCCACTGTAATTGGCTATAAATGTGTTATTTATAAATAGAAAAACTTCATAAACATATCAACTTTTAGGTAAGGGTTTTCATGTATAAAGCTATAATTGACCATGCTTCTTGTATGACTTTGACCTTGACGGTCAAAATATTGAATTTTATACTGATCATTGCTATAATTGACTGTAACTTTGTCATTTATCATTTGATTATCTTCATTGCTGCACAAAAAATCTTTTTGAAAAGACCTTTTAAAAGGTTAAAGTGCCCTTGACATTGACGACCAAGGTCAAATAATGGAGTTTTGGCTAAGTTGTCATAATTCTATTATTTATGTAAGACTTGATTCATACGAGGTCAAAACAAGACTTTTGACCAAACGGACATGTTGAATAATTTAGATATGACATTGACCTGTAAATGACCTTTACCGTCAAGATCAGTCCTTTTAAGATAGAAAAAACATAATTCTTTCTATCTTTTCTTTGAAAGATTTGTTAAAACCATTTTTTTTTCGCTTTTTGAAAAAAAAGGAAAAAAATGTCCAGCATTACCCCGCCAAGAGGTGACTTTTTTTAGCAGAAATTTATAAATACTTAATAAAGAAGTTATTAAGAAATAGATCCGCTTACCAGTCCTTAAGGACAACATTTTTTCTGCAAGTATGAAATTTAACATGAACCATTGACTTTACACATCGTATCACTTATTCCGACATCAGTGGCATATAAGGAAATAAAATAAAGTTTACAAATTTGCGGTGTTGCCTTGATGACCTGTACAAAATTTATTAAAATCATGCCACTTAGACCAATATTGGTCTAACCGCAGGTGTAACTTTTTATACCCCCTAAAAAAAGAAGTTTAAGGGGTATACTGTAGTCAGCTAGTAGTATATTGGTCCAACCGCAGAGATAACTTTATATACCTCCGAAAAAAGAAGTTAAAGGGGGTATACTGTAGACAGCTAGTGATCGGTCGGTCTTGTCCGGGACATAACTCAGGATGTACAAGAGATATCAACTTAAAGAACCATTACTCTGTATTGCTTAATTTAAGAGTTATTGCCCTTTGTTCATTTTTATACTTTGAAAATTGTTTTGGACATTACTCTTGAAACCACAATTGGTATTAACAAGAAACTTTGTAGGTAGACAGATCTCATTGAGGAAAATTGCAGTACAATAAAACTGTAACTCTGCCTTGTGTAATTTTCGAGTAATTGCCCTGTGTTCATTTTTATACTCAGTTTTTTCCGTGGAATAAATCTGAAACTTCAACAAGAAACTTTGCAGGTAGATAGATCTTATTGAGTAGAAGTGCGGTGCATTATAAACGTAACTTTGCCTTCCCAACTTTTGGAGTTACTGTCCTTTGTTCATTTTAACACTATGAACTTTGTCTGGGACATAACTATAAAAGGTATCAACTTAAAACTGTAGGTAAATCGATCTCATTAAGTAGAAGAGCACTGAATAAAAACGAACTGTAAGCCTCTCATCCTAAGTTTTGAAGTTATTGCCTTTTGTTATTTTTTACACTTTGAACTTTGTCCGGGACCTAACATGTGAACTATAAAGAATATCAACTTGTAACGTTGAAGGTAGATACATCTGAATGATAAAAGGTGCAGTGCCCTCCCTTTCCCTAATTTTTGAGTTCTTGCCCTTCGTTCGTTTATCACTTAGTCCAAATCCAAACTTTGATTTATCTTATTGGTGCAATAATTTAAAAACATTTGACATTTAAGAAAAACTCTATAAACTACTGCATCATCCTTGTGTGAAAAAATATTAACTAACTAAATAACTATTCTGACAAGCACGTGTAGTGGGTATTCGGCACTTCGTTACAATTTCAGTTTTTATAGATGTTTATCTGATTTGAAACTACAATATCAAGAACTGTTTGACTTGCAACATTTAGATTCTGCTTGTGGACCTTAACTGATGTAAATTTTTAATCATGCCCACTGCGTCAGTATTTGGCTTGCGCTAGGGGACTCTTAATTTATATAGACAAACATTTAAATATTCCTGTGTGAACTCATATTGCTACTTGGGTCAATATTTGGCTCGCCGCCGGAGTCACTTAATTTAGAATTCTGATATAAAAAATAAACATGTAAGTGTGAAACAATTTCCAGAAGAATCAATTTGTAGATTTAAACAAAATACTTTTATCAGGACTCTCAAGTAAAAATTGTCTCTGTCCCTGGAGTTACTTGATTTTAGGTTTTTTCCGATGTCAAGGTGGCCTTTGCCACTTTTTGTGCTCCTAGACATATTCCGGCAAACAATCGTCGCTTCATCCATTTTTCCGTAGATCTATTACCTATTTTATATTTTGAACATAAGTACCTTCGATACCAATTATTGTCCACTTTGTCATCGGCTGGATTAATGTCAGTGCCATCGATGCATCAAAACAACAATATTGCAATTAAGTCACTACATTCGTCATTAAAATACATTGACAAACAGGCCGGTGCTGGTAGAGCCCATTTATTGTTAGTGGTATTCTTTTGAAAGATATATGTTGGGTCACTTTTAGTTTAATGCTAGAAAAGTGCAGATTATATCATAAAAAATCATCATTTATGTGCACTGTTTGTCATTGTAATCGTATTTTTTACCATTAACCTTATCTTTTTGTGTAGATGTTGATGGAGGAAGTACTACAGAATGAAGAAAAGGGTGCTGTAAATGTGTCTATATGGGATTTTGCTGGACAGGATATGTTTTATTCAACCCATCAGGTTTTTCTTTGCAAACGCGCTGTCTATTTGCTTATAACCGATATATCTAAATATATAAAAGAAAACGTAAAAGACCATTGGAGTGAAGAAGAAAGCACAGAGCGCCAGGTTTCAGGTTAGTTAATGTTTTTTAAACAAAGTTAACATCAAATTAAAAGTACGAATTAATTACAACTTTCTTTAGAAAAGAAACCAATGCATTAAGACAGGTTCAAGGGTCGAGACTTGCAAAAAACTTGATACTTGTAAAAGTAACACTTAGGTCAATATCTTTGCACAATTATAACCAGACAACTAAAGTTCAATCTTTTGTATGTGTTCAACAAATTCAAACAATCTTTTATTAAAATTATGCCTTTAATTTTTTATGATTAGTGGTGAGCATTTGTGATCATAAACTGTTTCTCGTCAGTCTTTCATTATTATTCGAAAATTATTAGTTTCATTTATTCTTTATTTAACAGAAATGAGCCTTTGTTTAACTTCTGAAATATTATATAAACCAATAAAAGGTTAACAAGAGCTACAAATAGACACTACAAATGAAATATTTATCAATACTCTTCTTAGTTACTACATTGGCCATACTGAAATATTTGTCATGTAATTTAATGTTACTTGGTCTCTACTTAAGATTTATGATTTTCGCTCCTTGGATATATTTTTTCCCGCCATTAATCGATCAGAGTATAGTAAACATACTTACATTTTAGAATACATTGACTTTTGGCTGAATTCAATCCACCATTATTGCGGTTACTCTGAGAAAAATGGACCTCCTGTTGTTTTGGTTTGTACCTTTGCAGACAAGTTACCAAAGGTATGTTTTCATTACCTAATACAATTTCATATAGAAACGTTTTCGCTAAAATTATTATATTTATATCGTCAGCAAAATGTCATTTAACTTTTTGTTTTGATAAAATCATTTTTTTTGTCGTTATAATGTTAGGAAAAACAAGGTTACACCAGTAACTAACATTTGAAAGTTAAAAATGATGAAAATGACTTCATTGACATAGAAAAAAACACCACGTAAGTGCAGCTTCAGAATGTGTTGGTGCAAAAACTACTATAAGCACAATGACATATTTTTTTTAACCAAAGTTAAATAGGTACATCAAAATTATTTGTTACAAAGAGTATTGAAACTGCATCAATATATTTAGATATTGCATTATCAGATAGCAATATAATTTCTAAAATACACATCGTATATTTAAATCTACTTTGAGAAGCCTACACTTAAAGAATATGTTTCATTGTCCCCTGGGCATATCGCACTTGAACCGTCCGGCCGTCTGTTTTTACGTCAATAATAACGGCAAGTTGCATTTTTTCCTAAGTTCTTCCTCATAATTTACAAACATACTTATGATCTGGGCAACTTGTAAAACAACGGTTTATTTTTTTTCCATAGGAAAATATGGGTAGGTTTAACCTTAACCGGCAAAGTGGATATATCTTAAGTTTTATCTGTACGTATGGCTTCATAATTTTCATACATACTTATCAATACAAAGTACACATTTTTGCCAAGTTATATTACTGTGCTTTCCATATTTCCCAATTATTTCCCTTTAAATCAGATTGAAAATAGGACCCTGTAAGGTCACCCTTTTCAAGTAAGTTTGATTTATATGAAATTTCTCATAACTACTTAATAGACGTGTTAAACAATGAAAAAATGCCCTCTTTAGGCCCAAAACACTGTTTTTTGTGTTAAAAGAAGTAATCACTTTTTTCGGTGCCGCCCCCATCAAAATGGTACATCGAGGGGTTGCCAGGAGGGGGATGTGTCCCCTTCTGTTTGGGGGTTTGAAGGGGGCGGCAGTTGCCCCTCATCGCCGGAAAATTTTGGACTTTTGAGAGGCTTAAATTGACCCCAGATCGATTATTAGGTAATGTGTAATCAACGCTGAAAAGTATTTGACTCTATCTCAATCCATTGAGAAGTTGCAGCACTTTGAAATCAATTTTGATGGAAAAAAATCAAGGCAAAATAGTGATTTTTGGCAATTTTGAGATGTCCCATCGTTGCCATGGTAACAGGAAATTTAAGCCTGAGCATGTTGTTACAAAGGCAATGGTCCAGTCAACATTTGTGCCAAGTTTGATTAGTATTGAAGAACTTGTAACGGGATACTTTTCAATGAAAACAGCCATTTTTCACAAAATGCTTATGAAGTAATGGGTTAATGGAATCTAGACTTTAAACTTAAGATAATTGTTCTTTGTCATCACTCACATTATGTATGTTAATGTTCCTAAAGCTCTGGAAAGAGAATGATCCCTCTAGAGCATTAATCACAACAAAATTACATGAAAATTGCAGACTCGGTTTGGATGAGTTTGGACATGAGGGATAATGAAAAAAGTAATACACCCCTCATGCCGCTAGCACCGGCTTGAACGTTATTCAGTTTTCATCATTGAAAAGTGTTTGAATCAATGATCCCGAAAGACCTGACAAATATTACAACACTTAAATGAAGAACGGGGCAATAATTTACAGCTGCCCCACAAAACATGACACCTGATATTCATAAGTCAAGCATCTTTATTTCAAGAGTTATCTCCTCTTTAGTTTTTGAAGTTATATTTAGGTAACAACTAGGGCTGTTTAGAATTAAAGCTCTTTCCTGATATCACTTTTAAATGGCATCCCCATCCCCTGCGCGCCTTTGCTTTATATAAATTTTGGTCAATAAATAAATTGTTTTTTCTCTGTTCCATAATTTCGTTTTATGTATCATTCAAGTAATTATTCCGTCCGCGCTTTGCCTTGTGCCCTGTCTGGTTTTTGGTTGGGATCCTTTGGGCACCTTGCCGATGGTCCTGTGTTCCTGGTTGTGCTGGGGGTTTCGTTCATTGAACGCCGCCCTTCATTGTTGATCTTGTTTTTCATATTTTGGAACTTTATAACAAATCTACTTAAAATAGAGAAAAGTTGAAACAAGCTATCATATACATCCTGAGCCAAGATATTTTGATTATCTGAGTTGAAAAAAGAAAAATTGCCTTACCAAGCAGGGAAAGTGAGCACATTACTAAAATACAGCCAAACTAAGAACTAAAACGATTCTTGTTCATCCATGTCTTCCACAACGGCATAATTGATCTTGACCCTTCAGAATGTTGCTAGGGTTCTAGTTGGTAGGGGACTTTTGCATTCCTGGCAATACTATGATAATTAGTTGTTTTTTTCTTTGTCAATATTTTTCTGTTCTTGCGTGTCAACATATTGACAATAATATAACAAAGAATGTTTCAGTACATTTACTTTTGATTGTATCTCTAACAATACAAGTAATGTGAAGTCATTCCATTATTAAGGGATCATAATGAATTATAAAACAGAAAATAAAACTCTCTCAAAAGTACTTTCTTAGTGCATCATGTAAGGAAAATTGTAAATAGTAGACTAGTAAAATGAGTTACTGCAATTTGACAGTTGAAAGCCTTAGTAAACATCTAGATCGGTGCCTTCTGTGTACAATGCTGGAGTGACTTGATTGTGACAGGGGCTGCGTTCTGTGAACGTTGCCTTGTCTGATAGATCTTTATTCTAATTTTTGTGTCCCCACTATAGGTTGGGCATTGTAGTTGTGCACCTGGGTTTTTATGGATGTATTTAGTATTGTTAGAGTAATTGCACTTGAATTAGTAAAAATTTCAAATTTTCAACTTGTGTCGCACGTAACTAAAAAGTATTTGACCGAGAGTCATGAAACCTTACAGTAACGTTGCTCAGCATGTGAAGTTTGTGCATGCACCTGGGTATTTTCGTGTGAATTTTTTTAGTATTTTTAGAGTGATTGTCCTTGACTTAGTAAAAATTTACATTATTAAACTTGTGCTGCAAGTAACTCAAAAAGTTTTTGACATGTAGGTCTGAAAGTTTACAAGAATGTTGAAAAGCACCTTGGGGTTTTCTTGTGAATTTATTTAGTATTTGTAGTATTTGCCCTTTACTTTATAAAATATTTTAAGTTTTCAACTTGCGCTCATGTAGCAAAAAACAAATATTTGACCTAGAGACATAAGATTGACAAATCGATGGAGTGTGGGGGCACCCGTGTCCTATGGACACATTTCTAGTTAGTGATACATTGAGTATGAAAAAAGTGCTTATATGGGTTCATCTTGTCCATATCTTTTCTTTTTATAGACATAAGTTAGGCAAAGGCATGGACTCTGTTTCAATATTTTGGTCAAAACATTGTTGATGTGGTATACCTAAAAACTTTTGCTATTACCAACATATCGCAAACATTAATTTTATATCAAGTGATTATATAAAACATGAGGATGACTCTCTTTAGCCCTGTATGTCATGCTTGGAAACACATTTTAATGTACACAAAATCATATTTTTCAACATATGTACAAATGGCATGAAGATAAAAGCCACATTATATCATGAACAATACTCTGGGCAATTTTTATGCCACCGCAGCATCTGCTATGCGGTGACATATAGCGATTCACCTGTGTGAGTGTGTGCATGTGCGTGTGTGTGTGTGTGTGTGCGTGTGTGTGTGTGCGTGTTTGTGTGCGTGTGTATGTGTGTGTTACATAGATTAAAAAGTAAACTTAAACAATCTTTTTTGAAAAAACACTGGTCAAATGTTTATCAAACTGGCAGGATTTATCCTTTGGTGAAGGGTTTAACAAAGTTGTTCAAAGGATTTCATTCCGTGCAGAAATCTGGTTGACATGGCAACAAAAGAAATAATAACAATAAATTTGAAAAATCTTCTTGTAAAGACTCAAAGGCCTAGAGCATAGATATTTTGCATAAGGTATAGTCTGGTAGGCCTCTACAAAGATTGTTCAAATTATATCCCTGGGGTCATTGATATTTACTATGAACATTAAAAAAAATTAAACAACTGTCTGAAGGGACAAGGCTTAAAGCTTTGATATATGATATCATCTATAGGTCTTCTACCAGAGTTTAGCCCCGCCCTGAGGGTTCATTGGTTTTCCTTTTATTTATGATGTAAAAAACTTTTAAAAAATCATCTTCTCTGAACTGACAATGGCTAGATGTTAGATATTTTGCATACCAAATTGTGAAGTAGACTTCTACCAAGATTGTTCAAATATAGCCCTGGAGACAAAATTGCCCCGCCCCGGGGGTCATGGATCTTCACTATGTACATACAGTAAAAAATAAAAAATCTTCTTTTCTTAAGTACGAGGCTTAGAGCTTAGATATTTAGTATAAAATATAACCTATAGGCCCTCAACCAAAGTTGTTCAAATTTTGCCCCTGGTGTCAAAATTGCCCTGTCCCGGGGTTTTCCTTACATGTTTATCGTTAAAACTTAAAAACATCTTCTCTGAATTGACAATGGCTAGAGTTTATAAATTTTGTGTAGTGGACCTCTACCAAGATTGTTAGCGTCAAAATTGGTCCCGCCCTAGGGGTCATAGATTTTCATTATGTACATATTGCATGTATTTATAGTAACAACAGAAACTTAAACAAATGTTTTCTGAAAAGAAGAACGCTACAGCTTAATTGCATATTTGACATATAACATTGTCTGGTGGACTTTTATCAAGATTGTTTGAATTAAACCCTTGAGTCAAAATTTTGTCCTGCCCAAGGAGACATTGACCTTCATTATTTTCCTTTGATGAAAAGCCATGAAATTTGGACCATGTGCACAGTTTGGGATGTAAAATTGAACTTTAATAATCACATGAACTATGATTTGGCATGCGACCTACTTTCTTGTCCTTTGTTTCATGTTTAGGAGAGGTCACTAAAATGCTATGACATCCGAAAAAATGTGTACTCTTTATTGA